TTCTGTTGTTGAATGCATAAAATTGTGTTGAAGCCATAAAATCATGTTCAAAATATTTAGATTTTAGCATTAAATGGCCGACAGAAGTTGATACGCAGCTTAACAAAATCAACCAATCAAACAACGACCATGAGAAAAACTCTTTCATGATATTAATTGATATATCCTACAATTTCTTAAAGAAATCAAACTGTATTCTAAAATATAACTTCAACAATTCTATAACAAAACACATATCACCATCTCTTGTAATTATGTCCATACAAATATGTATATGCACAAAATCTGAGTATTATCTACCTTGTATTCTGTTGTGAAACCAGAATAACATATCATATTTTTCATTACTTCAAAGGTAACAAGAAAATTAAATTTCAACATTAAATGACCCATAAGTAGTTGATATGCTATTAAACAAATCTATCAAATCCACTATATTTTAATCTCTTCAAGATATCCAGATCAATTAGAACCCAGCCCTCCCTATTCTTGATGTTTTTTGCCATGATTGAAAACCTTTCCTCAAAGTCTTGATGATGTTTTATGCCATCTTTTGTGTTGTGATGGCACAGGCCATCTACTTACACACACACTTCAAACCAGCTTTCCTTGTCCTTCCTGGCCTCAGGCTGAACTACTCTGTTTGTTTCTTGGCACCTTACCTCACCATCTTCCATTACTTTCTGCTTATTCTTGAGATCTCTCTGCCTGTTGATCACCTGAAGAGTCTCCTCAGAGTTCCTTGACTGATGAGCTCTTGTTTCCTTCCCAAGAACCATTGCAGTGGTATTAATAACTTCCTTCAGAAGATGTACATCTCGTTTAGTGGCTGTTCCAGCACATTCTATATTCATCACTTTTATCATGTTGTTAAGAGCCACATTGTCAGCTGTTCTAATCGTTGGATAATAAAATGCACTCGGGTTCAGCTAAGTACTTCATGCCTGTGGTTTCACTTTTGATCCTAAGCCTGACCATGATTCCTGCCAGGTTGTGGCCTGAACCACAATAAACATCTGGGTAAGCCCTCAAGTTTAAAATACACCTCCGCAACCATCAAACTGGTTCTTATGACTGCCACATATATCTCTGCCTCATGTAGGATGTTTTTGATGTACATTTTATTGTTTATTTAAAATAACAACTAAACTAAATTTAAGTAGGTGCCCCCTCCATCTGCTTCATTTCAATTCCCAGCCCATACTGTCTACATACCTCTCTGGTGGCTTATGGCTACATCATATTGAAATATTGGTTCCCATATGATCACCAATTTTAAGTAACGTCAAACCTGGTTGGTACCTAGAGGAATGACTGCTTTGAAATACCAGGTGCTGTAAGTTTGGTTTTTGTAGCTTGTGTAATGGATAATGGCTCAGAATTGTTAATTGGAGAATCATGTTCGAATTTCAGTTGGGTTTGTTATATTCACTTACATAGAAATACCCTTTGGAAATGCATGAATCCAATAGTTCTCCTCCAGTAATGAGTAAGACTTATATCACTAAATCATTATCTCCAGAAAAAATTCTTAGAAATTTAAAAGTATTTTTCTGGCTTTGAATAACCTGCAAAGTGTTGATAAGTCATAAAAAATGCATGAATCAATCAATAAAACCATCTCCGTCTGATCTTGACACCAATCTTGCTATTGTCTCCAACCTTGGCAGTGAACTCTCCTGCAACCATCACAATGTCCTGACTTGGACATTTGTTCTAGGTGTCTTGCACAGCTCTGTAGAAAGCCTCCACATCATCTTTATTTGCATATGCAGTGTAGGTGTACACTTAAAGGTACAATATTTTACTTGACCCTTAAACAATAGACGTCCTCAACTGAGGTTTCATTGGAGATCAGCATGTATCATTAATTGATGATTTTTAACCTTTTCCAGTGATACAAAGATCATTCATGATTCAAATTTAAATGACTAATTGGCATCTCTAAGATTCATTAGGTTATTTACTTGGTTTCATGCATTCATATAATTTCCTCTGTTTGATTTCCTGCAAATAAAGCAGTAACAATAATCCAAAGACAGGGTTATGTCTACTGCTTACTTTTTGAAGAGAAATGATAAAAAAAAAGATGGTGACAAATTGCTGCAAAGAATGCACCGGAAATGCATCAAGCAGTATCATACTTTTTAAAACATTAAATTTAGGAAACTATCAGTTAGGTGCCATGCATGATACATGCTTAGGCAGTCATGTATCTTTTGATACATGACTGACTAGGCAGATTCCCCCCACCCCCAAGTAGGTTGCCATTTTGTTCTGTGGTAGACCATTTGCCATCCGAGGCTATAGAACCTGGTCTGTCCTGCTATTTACTCATAGCTGGAGGGAGAAGAGGAATCATACCTTTTCCAAGGGTAACAGCACGTAAGTGAATGGATTTGATTGAAATTCAAACTCGGCTCTCCGATTCCACAGTCTGAGCCGCTATCCATTATTCCTCTGTGCTCTTGTTTTATTTCCCCTTTTTCTTTTATTTTTATAATTGAAAAGATTTAAAAATACCATTTTTAATTTTTGTATACAAATAAAGTGAAAATAAGCATAAAAACTTAAAAAGAATGAAAATTCTCTTTATTTTTCTTTTTTTTTTTCCCCTTTTTTGTAACTTATTTGGTATGTATGTTTGTGTAAACTTTCCCATCATTTAAAGCAGTGATTCTCAACTGCCATGCCATGGCACACTAGTGTGCCATTGATCCTCTTCAGTGCACCACAAAATAATGTCACAGCATACATATGTAAGTGTATGTAGAAATAGTAATACTACAGTGTTCAGTCAGTTATGTGCCATGCATGACGCATGCTTAGGTGATCATGCCATGTCTATGAGAATGGAATCAATGTACAATAATTTATATGGTGATATACAAACTTCTATGTGCCATGTCCCTTCAGGATGTTAGCAATCATATGTCTCCACAATTTTCTGTCCTCTGTTGGTCTTTGTAAATTTTGTCCTTTTGCTATCTCTCTTAAACCCTCTTTTGCCACTCAGTTCATTATGTAGGTTATGCACTGTTTTCCTCTAGCCCTCAATATGCCGTATAAGTGTCAAATTTTCCAAGCCTTCCTTCCTTATGTGCCCTAGAAGTTTCAACTCTCTGATGTTAAGTATAAGGGTCCTTTTTGTTTCTATTTTCTCTAAAACTTTGTTGTTGCTCACCATCCTTCTGTAGAACCACATTTCTGTTGCTTCAAGTCTCTTCATCTGTGAGGAGATTGTCCAGCATTCACATCCATATAGGAGGTCAGGTATTATGTAGCAGTTATTATGTAACAGTTCAGTACTCTTTTCTCTTTGTTTCTGTTGCTTCAAGTCTCTTCTTCATCTGTGAGGTGATCATCCAGCATACACACATATAGGAGGACAGGTATTATGTAACTCTTTTCTTTGTTTCTAATCAAATATTTCTGTTTTTTAATACTTTGCTTAGCTTTTGGAAGGCAACTTTCACTATCCTAATTTCAGATCTCAGTATTACACTTTCCATCCTCTGTTGAAACACTTCCTGGATATTTAAATTGTTGTACTTGCTTGATTTTGCTGTCTCCAATTTGTTATTTGCATATTAGACCATTCCTTTTGCTGACAACCATGCAATCTATCTTCTTGTAATGATATGCATAAACACCTTACAATATTTTACCACTCAGGGAAAGTATCTCCCAGTTACACATCATTATAGCACAATGACAACATATTTTAAAATGTTTGCTGGTACCATATTTTCAATGGGATATTGTTAATGCAAACCTATACTTCTACACACATACATTCAAATTTTGGGCAAAATTTCCTGCCTGATCAAATGGCTGCACAATTTCATTTTACCTGTCAGCCATGTTTATCTTCTGCAGATTTTTTTCCCAAGCCAGGCATTAAAGCCACTAAAATACAATGGGTTAATAGTTGTAAAAGGGTTAAAAGTAGGAACATTGCTAAGGAGCAAGAACTAAAGAAGAGAAATCAGGAAGATAGTAGATAGCGATTGACATTGCATTTAAATTTTTTAACATTTAAAGTTGGCTGGAAAGCATGGAGTTAGAACAGAGTTCCACAAGTGAGAAGTGTGAGAAAAACTGTCAGCATCGAACTTACGGTTACATCTCGCTAGTTCTTCTGTAAATTGGTAAGACCTTGTTGCCAGTCTTGTAGTGTGCTTAAATTCAAAGAGTCTAGACACCATAGCGAAGAGCTGATCTGAACAATTACCATAAAAATATTTACAGAAAAGACAAAGGGAGGTAATCTTTTGGTGGTGGAAAAGTGACTGAAGCCAAGATGTCAGATCAGGGCCAATAATATTGCTGATTCTTCTTTGGATTTTATGAAGGAACTCTTGAGAAATAACAGGAGCATCAGACCATATGTGGTAACAATATTCTAAGCATGGATGAATGGTTGTTTGTATCAGCTAAAAATAGCCTATCAATCATGTTTTTCTGTTTTATTCCTATTTATAATGACCTGAAGAAATTATCTAAAGTAATAATTATGGTATTACTCTAATCTTTGGGTAAGGTTTTTTTATGAACAGTAGTTCTTTGTTTTTATTATAAACTGGAGAAAAAACAAAAATATTTTAAGAATTCCATGAGAATAGCTAATATTTATATTGGAAAGAAAACTTTATAAATGTTTATTAAACTTAATGCGTAATTTTTATGATTCCAATAATAAAAACAATATTGTGCTGAGTGAGGCATTTCATGTTAAGTTTATTTCGTCTCGTATTGCACTGCCTTGTTGTCTAGTATCACAATGTTTCTTTATACTTTCTTTTTTTTTTTTTTTTTTTTTTTTTTAATTATTAGGTTTTGAAATATTTACATGCAGCTTGAATTGATCCAAAACTAAAATTTTTGACTTGTGACATTTTTTTTATAATTTCTATTTTTAGGATGTTGAACCCAAATTAAAGTATGACCGTCTTGGAAATGATTTAACTGCTATTTTGAGTAAAGATGCCGCAAGTTGTATGGCTGTTCATTCTAAGGTAAGTTTTTTTTTTTTTTTTTTTTGTAAAGGTTGAAAATGACCTGATATTTGAAAATTTCATTTAATTTTAAAATATATTGCTCTCAGTCATGGTTTTGCTTACAGCTATATCATGTTGAAACATAGGTCCCCATATGATCACCAAAGTTAAGCAACATCTAGCCTGGTCAGTATTGCTTGAGAATACCAGATGCTGTAAGCTTGAATGTGCAGTTGGTGTAATGGCTCAGAATTGTTAATCAGAGAGCTGAGTTCCAATTCTGTTTTGGGTTCATTATATTCACTTACATGAAAATACCCTTCTGAAAGGAATGAATCCACCTTCTACCACCCAACACTTATGGGTTAATTAGTAAGACTTGTATCACTAAATCATTATCCCCCTCTTAAAAGTTTCTAGAATCTAAAAAATTTTTTCTGGGTTTAAATAACCTGTAAAAGGTTGATAAGCCATAAAAAAAACAAATCTATCAATAAATCAGTCAGTCATTATTTTAAGTCATAATAAGAGTGCACTGGATTCTGTATAATAAAATTTCTCTCTCTCTCTCTCTCTATATATATATATATATATATATATCCTATGTACTGGTAAATATAGTATCTTTTATCTTTCTATTTGTCAGGTTAGACTGTTTTATTAAAAGAATAAATCAAGAATAATAAATAATTTTAATTTAATTTAAGTATGATTGTCATAGTTAAATTTCATTTTTGAGTGTCTTTAAGGATGATTACAAATAGATTTTTAAATGGCTCCATTATCCTGGCATTAAAGATATTTTCTTTAAGTATTCAGAAATTCTCATTTAGTTTTTGATTCCAAAGGCTTTGCTTCTTCAAGATATTGTCCGAAAACGAAATCACCAAAAATAATTTCAAGAAAAGGGTTATTCGTTGATTGACATATCTATGAATGTTCTAGATTATATAAAAGACTAAAGGACCTATTGAAATTAGTTTTATTTTACCTGTATTTTTTTTAAGTAACAAATAAAACAGTAAACTCTTCTCTTCTCTCTCCTCTGACTTCTTCTCTTCTCTCTCCTCTGACTTCTTCTTCTCTTCTCTCTCCTCTGACTTCTTCTTCTCTTCTCTCTCCTCTTCTTCTCTTCTCTCTCCTCTTCTTCTCTTCTCTCTCCTCTTCTTCTCTTCTCTCTCCTCTTCTTCTCTTCTCTCTCCTCTTCTTCTCTTCTCTCTCCTCTTCTTCTCGCTCTCTCCTCTGACTTCCCTTCTCACTTCCCTCCTCTCGCTCTCTCTCCTCTCCTCTCGCTCTCTTCTCTCCTCTCGCTCTCTCTCTCCTCTTCTCTCGCTCTCTCTCTTTCCACTCCTCTCACTTTCCCCTACTAATTATTATTCTCTATTTCTTTTCAGTTCCTGGCCTTAGGCACTCATAATGGCACAATTCACATTCTTGACCATGCTGGAAATAATATAAAAACAATCAATCCGGTAAGAAAATATTGTCCACTATTTTGTTTTTTTATCCCCTTTGTGCATTTTCTTTATTTTTAGAAAAATTTGTTGGAAACAATTTTGTAAATTATGAGAAATTGAGATTCACTTTTCTTGAGATTTCATATATATTATTTATGTTGCATCAAATTTAATATCTTTTTATGCTGCTGCTTCATTATTGTCCATAATAGTTATTTTACAAATAAAACTTAGAATGTATATCGTAAAAAATGTCCATCACTAATGCTTGCATTAAATCATGACCACTGACAATCCCAAACCACCTGCTTTTCAGTAAGTAGCAGCGATGATGTGCTAAACTTTGCTAAAACAAATTTTAGGTTTTTTTTCCTTTATTTCTTTTTTCTTTTTTTCTTCTTTTTTTTTCTTTTCCCTCTTTTTTCCCCTTTTCTCTTAAAGCAGCAGCATTTTCACTATTTTTCCAGAAAAATAAAATAATGTTCTCTGTACATTTTTGTTGTGGAAAAATGATTTTCATTATCTTTCTCTGGTAAATCTAATAGAATTTCTGAAATAAATCATTGTAATAATAATTTTTTTTTTTTTTTTTTTTTTTTTTGCATTTCTTTCATTTAGCATGGTCACGTTGTCGTCACATGGGCGACGCTTTCAAAACGGAAAGCTGATCATTTTAAAAATTTTCAGTTATCTGTTTTGGATAAGACTTGTTTATGTCCATCGTCTTTGTCAAATTGAACTGAATTGTATTTTAATGAATATTGTCTTGAAAAAGGTTTATTAAACCGAAACGTCAGACGTCGACATTTCATTCATTTTAAACATAGTTGCATTTAAGGATTTTTGTTTGTTTTTTCCAAATTTTTCTTTTATTCTGTCGGATCTATATCCATTTACATTTGCTTACATATATATATATATATATATATATATATAGAGAGAGAGAGAGATCCGACAGTATGAAAGAAAAAATATACGGAAAAAACAAACAAAAATCTTATATGCAATTATGCTGTTTTAATGTTAATATGTCAACGTTGGACGTTTCGGTCAAACAAACCATCTTCAGGACATATTCAAAAAAAATATCAATTGGCAAAGGCGATGTATAGAACATTTATCAAACAGATAACTGATCTTATAAAACTTTCAGTTATCTGTTTGGATAAGGCTTGTTCTTATGTACATTGTCTTTGTCATGTTGAATTGATAATGTTAATTATATTTTATGAATATGTCCTGAAGATGGTTTATTAGACTGAAACGTTCGACGTTGACATATTAACATTAAAACAGCATAATTGCATATAAGGATTTTTGTTTGTTTTTTCCGTATATATTTTTCTTTATATATATATATATATATATATAAAAGAATAAAGCCCCAACAGGGTGAAAGAAATAGAAAGAAACAAATTATTTTGCTTCTTCTAAGATATGGTACTTCAACTTTTAATGATGACCCAACTTGCTAGTAAGCACATACCAGATTATCAAGTATCCAATGAAAATTGAAATACCAATTTGGTGATAACTGACACTAACTTCATTAATCACTCTGATCCATCAGGCGTTATTACACATTTGAAATCTATACTATTGCTATAAATAACATATTCGAATGAACTAAAGTATACATGCCTATTTAAATATATTTATACATCATTTATTACAGCTTGTGTATATCATATATGTTAAATATATAAACATTTGAATATATTTTTATGTTGACATATTAAGCAGATCAAACAGCCTCATTAGATTCATATCAAGTTTTTACAAGTTGTCATATATTTACTATTCCATTGGATTCTTATTCAAAATCACCCCCATGCACACACAAAAATCACACATGCACACAATAAGAGATACCTAAGGTTCAAAATGCATTTTAAAAAATGAAAAAATCTTTCTTGAAACTTTAGTTTTAATTCCAAGCTAATAGATTAAATTTAATATTCCCAATAAGCAAAATACTTTGGCTTATTTCAAAACGAATTTAAATTGATTGGAATAACTTTTTTTTCTGATTATCAGTAAAATCTATAAATTCATCAACATTGAAAAAAAATCTGTCAACACTACAAATTAAAGAATCTTTCAAATATAAAATATATTTTTCTGAAACGTTGAGAAAAATTAGTTGATTTAAAGTTTAGTTAACCCCAATTGAAACAAATATTACTTTTAGTTTAAAATATCACAAAAAAATCATTTTCTAACATAGTGGGGTTGTTTTTATGACATGTTCTGTAATTTATTGACAGCCTGATGTTTGGGAAATTTAAATTAAATCTGAAATAAATTACTTGACAAATACTTAAACAGCTTTTATATAATTTTTAACTACTTAGTAATCTTTAAAATTTCAGTTATTTTATTGATTTTTAAGTACTTTTTTTTTTATAGTCATACTTATGAAGACACTTGTTGAGAAAAGTTACAAAATTACCAATAAATTTAAAATTTATTATATTTACAAAAATCAACTCATTTATACAGAAAAAAAATTTTAAATTTTAAAAAATACTTAAGGTCATTGAATTGTAGTGAGTTTTTCTATTTATGATTAGTAAATAGATTTAATAACAATAACACTTTACCACTACAAATTAATACAGAATTTTAAAAGATATAACATTGTATAATTTATTCTAGTTAAAATTTATAACAGTGAAAACAATCCTTGTAAAAAAAATTATTTATTGAAAAATTTTTTTCATAAGGTCCATAATATATTTTATTCTTAAAATCAATTAAAGGCTTTTCTAATTAAATAATGTCTTTTACTGCATTTTTTTTTTTTTTTTTTTTTTGCAATTCTATGCAGATTTTCTGTTTGACCAGAAAATTGGATGATTTAAATTCACCGGGGACTTGTCCTTATAATTAATATAGACATTAAGCACTACCAAAAAGAATTTTAAAATTTCATAAAATTAAATGAGTAAGAGGTAACATATAAAAAAAAGAGATAAAAAAATTTTACCAAGGTTTCCTAAAAAAGAAAATGTTTGAAAATATTATTTAATTAATTTCTGAATAAATCCTGCATCTGATTTTCGCGAGAATTTTTCACCACAAAACAACTTGATGGTTCCATATGGTCACTAGAAAAACAAAGTTTTAAACTAGAATTTCCAAGAATTTAAAAAATAGAACACAAGCAGATTTGGGGTAAATGAATGCCTCTTATACATTGAAAAAATACAATACTTGGTTTATATACCCTTAAACTTTGATAATTGTTTATCTTTAAGCATTACCAAAAAGAATTTCAAATTTTCATAAAATTTAAATGATTAGGAAGTAACATTTTTACCAAAGAAAATGTTTGAAAATATAATTTCATTAATTTCTATTCTGACTTCTGATTTTTGCAAGAATTTCCAAATCAATGTATTTTTTACCACAAAAAGACTTATTTTACTAATTGATGTATAAAACTTAAACTTTGATAATTTATCTTTTCTTCATTTGATCTCAGATACTTATGAATATTTTTCTTCAAGATTTTTTTCATTTTACTTGAAATAGCAGATTGGTTTTGGCATATTAATTTTATTTTTTTACCAGAGGTGATTGTGAGCTACGATGAACTAAAGTGAATTTCCTTTGAAAGTTATTTCAATATTTTAATGCTTTTCTTTTGCCTTGGATTAGCTTTCATGCAAAGAGTACATTTATCACTGTTCCAACTTTCTAAAAACATTGTTGGTCATAATGTTCATATTTTGAAGTTAAATCTCATTATCTTTTCTCTTATTACATTCTTCAGATCTACAATTCATTTGCTAGTACACCTTTTCCTAGAATACACACATTTAAAACATCTAATCTTAGTTATTAATAATTCTTATTTTCATGAAATGTTCATTAAACAATACCAATGTCATCCATAAATGTTCTTGCTCTTTGTTGTCCGTCCTGGGTAAGACAATAAACTACATCCAACAGCAAGGCCTCTAATCAGAAGGTTTTGAGGAGCATGGAACCACCTCTTAATTGCTGGTGTTCCCAGATCCACCTTGACTCCATGTGGTAGTGCCATTACCAATTTGGCCACAGGAAATGATAACGATAAAGCAAAGTTTGATTTACCTATTTAAGGCCGTCCTGTGTATGACGATAAACTACATCCAACAGCAAGTCCTTTAATCAGGAGGTTTTGAGGAGCATGGAACGACCTCTTAATTGCTGGTGTTCCCAGGTTCACCCTGACTCGATGTGGTAGTGCCATTACCAATCCAACAGCAAGGCCTCTGATCAGGAGGGTTTGAGGAGCATGGAACCACCTCTTAATTGCTGGTGTTCCCAGGTCCAACCTGAAATGAGGTGGTTGCACCTGATAGGGTCTCAGCTATAGGTAAATAGTTGACCTCCAGTCTGACTCAAAACACTATGAAAGTGTAAAAATAGGTTTTAATACCAGAAATACTTTGTTCAAAAAAATTACTATCAGCAATAAATTTTTGGAAAAAAAATATTACCAGTAATAAAAATTGTCAGAATTAAATAACCCATTGTGGTTGATATACCATAAACCAAACCAAATCTTGCTCTTAGGATTGATACGTGAACATCACATTCATATTACCTATATAACTACCACTATATCTTGTAAGTTAACTTGTAATTTGTCTGACAAAAGTACCACTTGTGCTCATATTAATGAACACGGGCTTGAGAGGTAGTGATATTTCTACCAGCATATACCAAGCACTTGTAAACAATGTGTATATTATAGACAGCATTAATTAGATGAGGATAAACATTAAGTGATACAAAAAATCAGTGGGTGCAAAAATGCTATAAAAATAATTAATAGTTTCAAAAAGAATTTCATTCATTTCTGAATAAGTCCTGAAAATGTCATTAAAATCTAACCCTTATCTGATCTTTGCAAGAATTTCCAAAACAATGTATTTTTCACCTTAAAAAAAGCTCAAATTTCCCATATAAATTTAGGGTGGCATTGGTGCCAGATAAACAAGATTTTTAACCAAAATTTACAA